TAGTTTCCTACCTACATATTAATTTAAAAACTAACAACCAAATATATTTAATTTTTATAAATGATAAAATTGTTTTATTAAATACCAAAATTAACGTATTTCACTAAAAAAAATTCATGCCCGCACACTAAAAAAAATTAACGTATTTCACTAAAAAAAAATTCATACCAAAATTGTTTTATGATAGAGTAAGCTGGAGTTCATTATGGTTGGTACCTTAATTACAGAATACTATCAAGATTTATGAGTGTTTTAACAGTATCTTATTTATAAATTGAAGGCTTCCAGAGTTTACGCATAGGTTGTTGGGTAGGACATCAATACCTTCATCAATATCATATATTGGTGGTACAATGGTTTTTGTCGGCTCGTGCTCTACCAATTCACAGGTGTGCTCCAAATAATAAATTTTTTTCTTCATATGATGTTTCACTTGTTCCTTCATGCTCCTCAACAAAATTTACAACTAAAAACATAAGTGTATTACTAATCCATGGTATATTTTATATCACCTCTAATATGCAGCTCGTAAAGATATACGATCTAGGAGATCTTGAAGTGTTGAATAGGTATACCAATTCTGGTCCTATAAGTGACTTTTGTGTAATCAACAAGCCTGGCGGTCGACGGAAGATTCTTATGTGTGATGGAACACGTGAAATGAGTTTCCTTGAGGTTTTCAGCACTGGAACATGAATCATTGTTGAGGTTTATTTGCTTAAGATTATCTAGATTTCTTTTGATTGATCACATTAACAGTTTACCATATGACTTACTCATAACTTCATATTTTGTGTTGCAGTCGTCTAAAAAAACCCCACAAATCATCAGTGTATGGTCACTAAAATCTTTCGCTTTCGAAGCCAATCACACATACCTCATCTTGCAAACATTGGACCTTGTTGTCATTGTGTACGCTCTAGTTGATAATACTTTCGTAGATCGCAGTGACATGATGAACGGTTTCAAATATGGTGTAACCACTGTATACTACCAACTTTGTAGCTACAGACAATTCGCACAAGTATGTTTTTTTATGTTCAACTATCAAATTGATTGTTTACTTTATCTTCTATTTTCATAACATTACATTTATGAGATGTCTCAGTAGGTACTGAAGGGTCTGTGAGATTGCTTAATTCCAAGACTGGAGTATTGAAACATTCGTGGAATCCTGGATCTCCAATATCGTGTGCATCTGCAACCAATAAGCAGGTACAATTGTCTCGTATTTTAAACACACTTGATTGGAAAAACCCCATGTAGGTAAAATTGTTGGAATGTATAATCATTGTTTTGCATGTGTTAGATTCTTTTGGCAATTGGTAATCATTTGGTATACCTTGAAGTTGGAGTTGGACAATTGATAGAACACAAGCGAGTTCAGCTGGACCGTGATATTGACTGCCTTGATATAAGCCCCCTTGGTTGTGAGAATCTTTACTTTAGTCAACTAGCTGCAGTTGGGACATGGAAGGAAACAAAGTTCAGATTTGTTCGCTTCCAGGGTTGACCATTCTTTCCGAGGAGCGGTTAAGTTGTCTACCTCGGTGTATTCTTCTTTGTGCATTTGTTGTGCACTACCTCAAAAACTTGGAGGGAGGACTTTTGGTTTATGTTTCACATAACTCCGCTCGTTTTTTTGAATGGAGGCGACATGGTGACGATTCCTAACAACGCTGTGCTAAGAGGTGCAGAAGCGAGATTTTCTCGTGTGTGTTCATTGTCACATGAGGTAAGCTACTAAACTCTTATGTTATGGGTTAATTAGGATTTTTCAGTTCTTAGGGTTGCATGACTCAATATTTTGTTTGCTTGTTTTGTTTCAGGTTAATTAAGTATGATTTGCAAGACATTGTCATTGCGCCAGAGAATCAGAGTAAGCAGACGACCTATCAAATGGTGGAAAATGGGGTTATGTTTTCTAGCAATTCTCGCTACCATTTGAGGTCTTATAGAGGAGGAGTTAGCAGTAACGTGGTTGGCCAATGGTATTCTGGAGAATTCATCACACATATTAAGGCTGGAACTCTCTCAAGACTTTCAGATGAAGACTACGCGCAAGTACCATATGTTCTATTCTTGACAACAATCGGGGCAATCAGAGTGATAGTTTCACTGCCATCTGAAGTCTATAAGTATTTGGATAAATGCATTGGACTAAGAGATTATCAGGTGATGCATTTCATTGATGGAGATTTTCTGGAATCCTTTTTGACTTTGACTGCAGAAGAGCAGATGAAAATTGCTACCACAATGAAGATCGACGATAAAATCATGAAGGAAATACTTGACTATCTTGCCCTATTTCATTAAAGGTAAATTTATTGTATTTGAAAAGTTTGTGCAAACATGTGTATATATATGGTGTTTATACTACAGTCAGATTCCTTGACTTTTGAAGTCGATGAAAAGGTAAGCATGCATCTCATATGACTTGAGGACACCGTTACAATTTTGTGCTTTAGGCATTCCAAAATTGAGCCTGATTTGTTCTTCCTTGTTTTGTTGCCTCGACGATAATTCATGTTGTGGATGTTCTAGGTTGGCCTATTCTTCTACAAACAGATGTTGGAATGTTCTGGTGGCAATCTCCGTTTCAACACTCGTTAGTGAAGTACCCAGTGTTTTATGTTATCGTATTGAGTTAAACTCTGTTAGGAGAGATAATAGATTTTGCATCTTCCTTAGCCTATAAACATGTCACAAGGATTTTATGAAAAAAATGATTCTCGTTATGTTACAGATTCTTATGTTTTGAGAGATATGGATTTGGTGTGTATGGATTTGGTGTGCTTATGTGGCTGTCTTGCTTATACATTTAAAATTTAAAATAAGTATTAGATTTGCATAAACTTTTACTTCTCTTGCTTGTATTACTGCAACCTATAGTATCTCTTTGAAGTTTTTCCACTTATATATCTCCGACGTTTAATCTCCGTTGTTTTCAGAGAGAGTCACTCACATATGCTTCTTGTATGGATTATTAAGTGCTCAGTTGACCATACTCCATGTTCTGATATGGCAATGGAATTCCCTTTTCGAGTTTAGACAAAAGCTTGAGAACATATGCATTTGTAGTCTTAATTCTGAAGAACATCAAACAAGATGAGTAGTATTTATTTTACAAGAGAAGGATAAAGAAACACAAGAGAATTCCAGAATAAAAAAAAAAACCCACAACTTAGTAATAATAATAATCCACACCATAACATAACAGGGTAAATAAACACCACTCCATGCTACCACCAGCATTTGACATGTCAGGTTTAT